AATACTCCCGCTTCTCTCTCCGGCCCAACTTGCGCTTCCTCTCCATTCCCGATGGCCTCTCCGATGACAAACCTCGCTCGGCGTACCAATTGACTGAGCTCTTTTATTCGCTCAGAACCCACTCTGTGGATTCTTTCCGCGAGCTGCTGCTCGCCGGCAGGAACAAAGATCGCGACGGTTGGCCGCCTGTGAGCTGCATTATCGTGGATGGACTGATGCCCTATTTCATGGACGACGCTCAGGCCTTGGGGAACCCTGTGCTTGCATTCCGAACTATTAGTGAATCTTCCCTTTGGGTTTATCTTCAGATCCCTCAGATGATAGAGGCCAGCGAGCTCCCTTTTCCATGTAGCAGCAAATTAGCAGACCCCAAGTTCATTATTTCTTCCATTTTCCTTATAAGGTTTGAAGATTCTCAAATTCGTTTAAAAAAACCCATTTTTTTGTGCTCTTTGAAGCTTTAAATCCATCAACATTATCCCGCGTTGTATGGTATGAGTAACGATTAAAAAAAATGTTTGCAGCTGATGCAGACCTTGACGAACACATAAAGAGCGTGCCGGCCATGGAAGGCTTTCTCCGGCGTTGAGACCTCCCAAGCATGTGTCGAAAAGCAACAAAAGCCGACGACAAAGAGCTTCAATTATTCACAAACTTTGCTACTAGCAGTACGCGGTCAAAAGGACTAATCTTCAAAACTTCATATTCCCTCGAAGCTCCCATCCTCTCTAAAATCTACTCCCTCTTCCCAACCACCTATGTCGTCGGCCCCCTCCATGCTCTTGTCGAATCAATTACCTCATCCTCTGTCTCTGCCAGTCTCTTGGCCGAGGACCGCTCTGCCCTCCACTGGTTGGATGCCCAGCCATACCGCTCCGTCGTCTATGTCAGCTTCGGCAGCCTAGCCCGGCTGACGCAGGAAGAGTTTCTGAAATTCTGGCACGGGTTCGTCAACAGTGGCCGCCGCTTCTTGTGGGTGATGCGGCCTGATTTGGTAGCTGAAGGAACGATTGCGGTTGAAATGGCAGGGTTGGAGGAGAGAGTGAGATTGGTGGCGTGGGTGCCGCAGGAGGAGGTGCTGCGGCACCGTGCGGTGGGGTGTTTCATTACGCACAGCGGCTGGAATTCAACGCTGGAGAGTGTAGCGGCAGGGGTGCCGATGGTGTGCTGGCTGTGGGCGTGGAATCAGTTGGTTAATAGTAGGTTAGTTGGAGAGGTGTGGAAGGTGGGCTTGGATATGAAGGATGGGTGCAAGAGGGAGATGGTAGAGAGCATGGTGAGGTCGGCGATGGAAGGGGAGAAGGCGGAGGAGCTCCGGCG